ATCAATATTTTATTTTTGGAATGCAAATCAATATTAATTATTTTATTTGAAACGGTTGCATTTTAAAAATTAAAATTTAATTTTAAATTAAGAATTGACTAACATACCCTTTTAATTTGATTTTAATTGTATAATTAATATATTAAAATGATTGGTTGAGATTGGTTCTCACAGTTACCACAAACAATTCAATTCTCCTTTGAATAGGCCCATATATATATATATATATATATATATATATATATATATATATATAATCTATTTCAACTAAATCAGTAATTCATAATTTCTTATTTCCTAACTAGTTTTATAATCTAAAATTGTTATCTTTTGGATGTAAGTATGTAATATTTAGATGTCAAGTCAAAATACAATTATTTGATGTCTTTTGGATATTACTCGATATGTTTTGGTACGTGTGATGTTAAGATTTTTGGATTAAATTAAATTTCTTTTGGTTTTAGGTTATTAATTATTTATATGATGTTGTGATTTTTTTTGTATTAAATTAAATTCCCTTTGATTTTAGGTTTATCAGAAATATGCGAGATTTAAACATGTATCGTCTCTCACAAATTTGATAAAATATCTTACATAAATCGGAAGAAAGATCCCTGTTGGGGGATATCCGGTCCTCGTTGGGGATGGGGATGAGGATGAGAATGTGATCATATTCCCCGACAGGGACGGAGGCATGGCAACGGGGCGGGGATGAGGCGGATTTTGTAATCCCCGGCCCCGGTCCCCGGCGGGTACGGGGATTATCATCTCGTCCCCGGTCAAATTCTAGCAATCCTCGGTCAAAACCCGGTAAACCCGGTCAATCCCCGGTAAAAAAATATGCTTTAGTTTGATTATACCGGGGATCCCCGGCCCCGACTCCGGCCCCGTTTTGAGTAACATTCCCCGTCCCCGGCCCCGTCCCCGGTTTAAGTCTACCGGGGATCCCCGGCCCTGGGACCCGTTTTAGCGGGGAATCCCCGTCCCCGTTCGGATCGGGTGAACCGGGTTCTCTACCGGGTCGGGGCAAATCACCATCCCTAGATGGAGATGAGGAATCGAGGATGGGGATGAGATTAAGATCCCCGCCCCATTACCATATGCCTAATTTTGGAGAAAGTTTTGGAGGGAACCCGCTAGAACAAAATTTGCACAAGATTTTCCATTTTCTTCATTTTGAAGAATCTACTGGAGATGCTTTAAGGGTTGGTTTGGCGAATTAGTGTATAAGATAAGCCAGTTTCCAACAAATTCTTCAAAATAAAGAAAAACTGAAATTTTTATTTTTATATTGTTTAAACAGATTTTTTATTTTGTTAGTATTTTAAAATAGACACAACTCTAAATATATACAATTCTCTAACACTCTAACTCTATGGTGAGGATAAATAAATGTTATTTAAAATTTTCCATCAATGAAATTGATCTATTAGTTTTCTTTATATAAAGCTCTGTATTGGGATGATAACTTTATAGAATGTTTTAATATTATAGTTGATGTTGAAATTCATTTAATGCAAGCTTTTAAGAGATTTTGACTTCTGGTTTCTATTTTAAAGAAATTTTATAAAATCTATTGGAGATTCTCTAAGTCGGTATGACGACTCAATTTTAACATAAGAGGCATAACCGCCAAAAAAACCTGATAAATAATTTCTAGAGCTCATTAAAAACTAACAAAGTAACTTTGTTTTAAAGATAACTTAACAACTAATGTGTCGAAACCCTTTTAATAACTCAAAAAACAAGCTACTTATAAGCTAGTTTGGGCTTATATCAAAATCACCCATTGCTAAACAAATCTCCCATTAAACCATTTTTAGTAGGGACACTGAAACTTACATAAAAATACTAAATTTGACACCAAATCTTACATTAAATCTGGTGTAACGAATATTACACATGTAATATGCATCATCCATCATCCATCATCCATCATCCATCATGCATTGATAAGAATAGGGATTATAAATCCATGAATCATCCATCATTCATGCATTGAAGTATTGGGTTCGGGAATACTCTTCTAAACTTTTAATTGATTAAACCTTTTTCTTCCAAAGTTCTCCATGCTTAGATGAACATATTTGTACATCATTTTCAGTAACATCTGCTGTACCTGATTTTCACCCAAACCCTGAAGAAATCTCACCTCGAAATCATGAAGGTCAGGCCTCTCTACCAACCCCGAAACCCTATCGGGTTGAACCCCACTCCAGCGGAACCCATCCGGTGCTCTCCTCTACCATTTTTAATGCCCATAAAATATTTCAAATTAATTTATATTAATTTTCTTTCGTACCCTTGTATTTATTAGTTGTTTACAAATTCAACCCACGTAAGTTATGTTTGGCAAAACAACTAATAAATTAACTGTTAAATGATAAATTAATTATATTCAAATGAGAAGATATTCAATTTTTTTATAGATTATCAAAACACTATTTAAAATAATTTTTTAAAGTAGCTTGTAATAGAAGTTATGTTTTAACAAATCAGTTTTGTTTTTCATATAAGATTGAGATATAAACTAAAGGATCTTTGGCTTAGCGATATATGAATCATTGGCCTCCTATGAGGTCAATGATTCAAACTTCATTAAAGGTGAAGAGGGTGTGCAAGTTTATTTGTTCTATTTGGTATATATAAATATTATATACTTAAAAAAAGGAAAAAGATTGAGATATAAGTTAAGTTGGGTTGTAACTTTGAGCATAGGGCTGTTCGGTTCGTTTTATGTTAAAACCTGTCTAGATATAGTTGTCTGTATATTAACAGATACATTGTTGTTCGGTTGTTATGATGAATAACAGTCTAAATGTCAGAAAATGACCATTTTACCCCAGTCTTTATTTTTGTCTGAATAAAACAATAGTTTGATAAAAATGTTAGAACAAATGACTTTTTGTTTGTAAATTTTTGTGGATCAAACCCACTGTTTTCTGAGTCTGAAAAGACTAGAAAAAAACCCTCTATTGTTGTTAAGTCTGGTTCTAGCTCGTTGCTCTTAAACTTGCTCTCATCACCACCTCCAACAACACCATCATCCACAGTCTGATTGCGTGAAAGAAATGGATCGACAAAAAGTTTGGAGCAAACCCAGTTCAAAATCTAAGAGATGGAGAGAAAGCTCGAGAGAGATCGAGAGATGGAAAGGAGGAGCAAGGAGCTACAAAAACCATCATCTTCTTCAAGGAGGCACACCTAAGGAAGGAGAAGGGAGGCAGTGTGAATCGTAAGAGTAAGAAAGGAAAAATGAGGGCCGAATGCAAACCACACCCTTTTATCAGCTGACCGAATAAGCCATCATCTGTTTCATTAAGCCACAACCGAACAACCTTACATGGCTTACCGAATAAGTCATACATCCCATACAGCTTATTAAGCTGCTACCGAACGGCCCCTAAATCTTGGACGGCAAATCAACTATGTGAAAGGAATAAACAATGAACAAGGGTACTTATAACACAATGATGTCCATAAATGTTGGAAACTGTTGTTGACATGTGCAGATGAGATGAATCCAGTTTTTATTTAAATTGGTTGGATGTTTCAAACTTATAGAGAAGATAAATCTTTTCAGTTGAATTTTTCGAGAATCTATTTTATACCAGTCCCAGATATATAAGTAGTATGGCATGTAATCAAGATTTCTGGCAGGGGGAGGAGAACAGGAAAAACCACCATTTCTAAAAGCTTGGAAGAAAATGGAACCTCTCAACTTCAATATCAGCAGAAGTAATAGATTCAGAAGGAAACCCATAAACACTCACAGATCTAAGCAACTCCTCTCCATTTCCCTCCTTGCTCTCTTCTTCTTACTTCTCTTTTTCTTCTCCGACAACTACACCATCAACTCTCTCTTCTTCCGCAATTCCCTAAAAACCACTCAATGTCTCACACTCCAAACCCTAAAAGCAGAGAAATTCCTTTGGTACGCACCACACAGTGGATTCAGCAACCAGCTGTCCGAATTCAAGAATGCCGTCTTAATGTCGGCCATACTTAACCGGACACTAATTGTTCCTCCTATTCTGGATCACCATGCGGTTGTTCTTGGAAGTTGTCCAAAATTTAGGGTTTCTGATCCGAATGAGCTCCGGTTTGCTGTGTGGAATCATGCGATTGAGCTGATCCAAGGTCACAGGTGAGTGAGTTTAAGGTTTTCTTTTTAGTTGTTCAGAATTGTCAAGGTCTTTATTGATTTATTGGTTTGATTGTTTATGAACACAATAAGTCTTGATATATTTGATTTTGCCTTTTCGTCTGTCATTAGTAAAAGCTACATGATTGCTTACAGTTATGTGTGATGAATTACTAACAATTGGTTTTCACTATCTGATTTTATAATCGTTCATTAATTTCATAGTCATTAAGTCGATCCTTAGAACACATTTGGTTCTTAGGTCATGTGATTTATGTCATAAGCTTCAATATATGACATCTCTGATTTTGGATTATATTGCTAAACTTGATTGCAGATATGTATCAGTGGCAGATGTAATTGATCTTTCAGCATTGGTTTCCCATTCAGCAGTTCGAGTTATAGACTTGCGTCATTTTGTACCTTTGTTTTGTGATATCGATGTCGACTATKTTTGTTTTAAAGATTCAAAGATGGATGATTCTTTGTTGGAAAAATTAAGGCAATGTGGATCTCTACTATCTGGGTACAATAGTGATACAAATGATTGTGTATATGCCGTTGAAGAAGATTGCAGGACAACTGTTTGGACATTCCAAAAAGATGGTGAAAATGGGGAATTGGATTCTTTCCAACCAGATGAGCAACTCAAAAAGAAAAAGAAGATTTCATTTGTTAGACRAAGGAAAGATGTATATGATACCCTGGGTCCTCGTTCAAGAGCTGACTTAGCCACTGTATTGTCATTTGGTACACTTTTTACGAGCCCATATAAGGGCTCCGAGTCATACATCGATATTCATGAAGCTCCAAGGGATAAAAAGATACAATCTTTGATTAAGGAGATTGAGTTTCTTCCATTTGTRCCTGAGATTATGGATGCAGGAAAAGGATATGCTCTTCACACTSTTAAGTCACCTTTCCTCTGTGCACAACTTAGACTATTAGATGGGCAGTTCAAGAACCACTGGAGGGGTACTTTCCAGGCGYTAAAACAGAAACTAGATCCTCTAAGGCAAAAGGAGAGTTTGCSTATTCATATTTTTGTAATGACAGATTTGCCGATGAGTAACTGGAGTGGAACTTATTTGGGGGAGCTAGCAAATGAGCCAGATTCTATTAAGCTGTTTCTTCTGTCAGAGGAAGATGAATTGATTCAGAAAACTGCCAAGAAAGTTGTAGATGCAAGCAATGGTTGGAAGTTTGGAGCTTCTTATAATGAAGGGGTTAAGAAAGATTGTCAAAAGCATCATAGGTTTCCTGATATTCTCTTACATGTTGAAGAAACTGTTTGTAGCTGTGCTTCTCTTGGTTTTGTTGGTACTGCTGGCTCTACCATTGCAGATAGCATAGAAATGATGAGAAAAAAGGAAATATGTTCCCACTGAAACTTGACTCTATGTATGTCCTTGCATTTGATCAATGGAGATCACAATCCAGTTCCACACACAGCCTTTGAGAAAAATAAAAAATCTTTACTTCTGGGATGCAAAAGCATGAATAGGGCACATTTCAAATGTTGGATGGCTGTGGAAGAGCTGAGGATCTATGAGATTTGAACTCTCAACAAAGTATGTCCTCCGCAATCAAATCATGCTTGAAATGTATTTTTAACCTTTGGTCGATGAAAATGATCTGAATTTATACATCAATAGGATTTGAATCATATGTATTTGAAAGCTAAACTTCTCCATGTTCATGATGACAACCTGAACTTGATAGATCAATGAGAAAGAAAGGAAACCAATGATGGTTGATGTTAAAAAGCCTGCGTTTTCCTTGCTAATTTGCATATCATTTACCCTTTAGCACCTTGGCCACATTGTTCGACAGTCTTGGTCCATTATTGATCATTCTGCATTCAAAATTTTATCATCAAGCTTTCTTTGTATGCCTTTTTGATTAAACATGTAGGATGCTTCTCCGTAAAATTATTTCGAGTTTTTCTTCATATGTAGTTGAGATTTTGAATGTGGGAAAATAGTATGCCCTTCACACATTAGCTTACCTTTTCTGTGCGAGTATTTAGACTTTTAACCTTTTAAAAAGCAGTTAAAGAAACATAAGGAAGTTGTCAAGGCCTAAGACAGAAACTGGAATCTTTGAGGCAGAAGGGGTGTATACCACCAGCTCATTGTAATGACCAGTTTGCCCATGAGTAATTCAGTTGGCACTTGTTTGGGGGATCTATCAAAAAATTATAGAGCTGCATTTGCTATTAGTGGATGATGATCTGCATCAAGTTAGGATGCACAGCAAGATGTAGATTAGATATTTGAGGTCCAAAACCGAAAAAGGAAAAAGAAAAGAATAAGCTAAGGCCTAGGGGTCCAAGTCCATACTGTAGTATCCGAATATCGTTCTAGAGCAAATGACACCGCAAACAACTTAATATAGTCCCTTGTGAACTCTCAAAGGGGGTCTTTGGTATATTAAGAGCAGCAGCATTGTTGAACAACCTATAGAGAGGAGGTAATGCAAAAAGTAAAGGATAAAGAGATGCACAAAAGGACCAAGGACTAGGCCCTCAAGGACAGGTCCCAGGCATGGGTCCGTCCTAGGTTTCAGACCAAGGACTGATCCGGAAAAGGACTAGATAAGGACCAATATCCGGATAAGGAGCGGTCAAAGACCGATAGATGAAGGTCCGGACGTGCGGACTTCTTTCCATGGAAGCAACAGTGGACTTAAAAAACAAATCGGGCCTGGCCAGAACCAGTTAGGACCGCCGGGTCTAGATTGGTCCTTGTTTCCAGATCATGGACTGGACCAGTCTTTCGAAGGACTAGGTTTTCTCTTTTCTGGTTTGGAGGACCAGGCCCGAGGACTGGTTAGACCAGTCCTTGTTCATCTCCAGTAAAAGACTTTTAGCACTTCACTTATACATTGTCGCTCTAATTAGGTTGCCTACTCTCTCGCCAGAGGCCAAATGGAGAGCAAAAGACATTTGCATTTGTCGTGTTTCAGGTGGATTCGGATTCAATTTAGCAGGACGAGGTCTAGAATCAACTGTTCGAGAAAAACTGCAAAAAAAGATATACAGCATTGCCTGGTCTGAGATTTGAATTGCCGTGAATGATGAGATCTAGGAGACTGTAGAAATCTTCCAAGATCTCATGATACAACAATTCAGGATTCGTTTTTTGTATTGCTACTTCTATCTCTTTAAAATTACAACAATCGGCTTTTTGCCATTTAGATCTTCTCCAATGTCTGACTTAAAACTGCTATGTTCCTAGACAATGCTGTGTCTCCAGTCTCAGGCTCAGGCTCTCGACAGCAAGTCTCTTGAAAATGCAGTTACATTGTGAATGCCTCTTTGGATCTTTAGAACTATTAATGTTTTTTTAAAGGTTAGACCTTTTTTTTTTTAATTAAGAGAGACTCGGTAAATCACATTTGATGGTTGGAATTAAATTGGTTTAAGGCTATGACCCTATGGCATTTGCATAAATTTTTAGGAGAAACAATCAATTATATTCATATAATTGTTGTATCTTGTGTGATATTTATCTATTATAGTACATATATATGGTGATTACTGCTGAAAATTTACTACACTTGTGTTTCTTAAAGCATGATCTTGGGATCTCCTTTTTAGTCTCTTTACACATCCTTGGTCACTCTCTACAGAGAGTAACCTGGAAGCGGGTGATGATCTTTTCGCACAGACTAATTTTTCAAGAATAACGTGTCGAGGTATGAATAATGCCTTCATAATATAATCAATAAGATCAAGTTACACATGAATAAAATTTTAATGGATCGATATCTATTTTGATTTATACAAGCTTGATTCATGTGCATGTTAAAATTTGATAAGGTGATTCACGTTCTCTTCGTTGACCTTAATTCCTATTCCGCAAACCTGAAAACTGGAACAAGTAGGGAGGGACTTTGATCTTTTGACCAATTTTTCGATGTAGGAAATTAGGAATTAGTAAAGGTGCTATTAAGGAACATGAGTTAATGAGTAGAGAAAGTACAGTTTATGAGTGTCAAAACATCCAAATGATTAAACCACAAGGGTGGTGCCTGATTGGTTTGAGCTTGGCTCCAAAGGTCAAAAGTGCCTGGAGGTCCCACGTTCAAATCCAAGAAGGAACAAAAATCCCCTTGTGGCCATGGAGGTTCAAATGCAGTGACTCCGGGCTACCAGCAAAGCAGGTGGTCGCCCTGGGATTAGTCGGCTCGCATAGCAGGTTGGATATCCAGGTTAATAAAAAAAACGTCCAAATGATTATTCATTTCTTTGTAATTATAGATTGGTATACATATATTTCTGTTTTCGCATTTCTATTGTGAGAATATGTGGAACCTCCAGATTTACTCTCCAAAAGAGCCATTGAGGAGAGAAGGGAGTTTCCATCATATATAGGAGAGAAATGGTCCAAGTCTAGCTGATGTGGGACGCCAACATCTCTAAAGCCATTTTACTGCAATTCACTTGGTAACTAGCGACCATAAGTTTCTTTTTTCTCTAAAAATGCCTACTTTTTTGCTTCTCTAAAAGTATATTTCTTCGTTTTGATAAAAGTTATAATGTTTGAATTAATATATCTTATTAAGAACACATTTTGTTATCTATCAGGTTGGCTTTTTAATTTACAACAGACCTTTTATCTATTGTTGCATGCCCTTTTCATTTGTCATTAATCCCAATTCCATGCAACGTATATACAGCTTCCTGCATTTGCAAAATTTTTTCTATCCGCTTGCACCAAGACACATGAAGTGAAAGACTCCCAAAGTGTTGTGTGGACATGGATGTCACATAAAACCTTACCAAATCCTAGCAAGATTCCATGATTTGAAAACTTCTCCCCGCCTGGTTCTGTGATTTCTCAACCACTCATGACCTTCCTTATGATTATTTTGTTCTTCTTGAAAACCTCATGGATCCAGCTTGTGCTCCCATCTCACATGATGCCCAACCACTACATTTTGACAACTCTATTTTCTTGATAATGTAACCCCCTACCACTTATTCTTTATACTAGAACTTGAAATGGTTTAGTTAAATGTTCTTTGAAACAGTTTTATGTCTGCATCAATTTTTCAATTTTTGCAGGCAAATCTGATGAAGCTTGTGTCTAGGATCAAGAAAATCCAAGATGAATTACTGTCTCTGAAAGAGCAATGCTGCGAATTACTCTGCTCCAAGCAGGTTAAACAAAAATTCTAATTTAACTCTGTTCTCTTTTGCTGAAACCAATCTGAGTTTATGGTTTGTTAAAATAGCAAAATTATCGTCCAACAAGGCCAGTTCATAGAGTAATGAAAATAATGCCATTAGTATATAAAATAAATCGATACTTACAGTTGGCTTTAAGCAATTAGAAGAATGAATTCCAAAGAAGGGGCATGAAATTCTTGATGAGTAAGGCTTCAGGATTGTTTAGACTGTATGTGGTTTTGAGGGTTCTCATTAATACACTGTTGCTTCTCTTTACACACTGGGTTTAGTAGAATTAGAAATCTAGCCGTTCACTGATAATTTTATGCTCCAGGCTCGTCAGCAGTGTATCATTGTTTTCATATTTTCAAGCAATGAAAATAGAAGATAATTGTTTGCTCATAGAATAGGCCATGGTTAAGACTTTAGAGGTTGATAATTGATCTTAGAAAAGCGTTGCGACCTAAATTGGTTTATTTTGCTGATGTATGTATAATGTCAAGAAAAACTCCATTTCTGAAGCATAACTGACATTGGTAGTTTGAGTGTTTGGTAAGTTGTGCCAACAAGTGAAAAGAGGGGTATGCATGGTTGCTTACTAAAATACCCCGAACAATAACTTCAATGGTTTGTGTATCATTATTCTGCAGATGAATAGGAAGAATTATAAGACGCGGGTTAATTTCCAGTCTTTTTTGGTAAGGGTTAATTTTGGTCTTATTATATATTGTTTGTGATATGTGTGCTAAAACAATGTATATATGTCCATGTTCTAGTGTTGTTACAATAAAGGGAGCTTTTATCGCCAAAAGTATCTCCAAGAAGCATCCTTTAGTGCAGAAAACAAAAGATATAGAAGTCATGTCATTGGTCAATGAGTCTTAAATTCTTGACTATGCCTTGAATGTGAATGTGGAACATTAGATAGGTACATCTTGGGTTAAAATCCTACAATTATTATCAACTATTTAGAGGCAATGCCTACTAGATGGAAAGCCTAATGTTTGCCTGGTTACATGGAGCATTATGCTGCATGTACCTTGTGGTCTAGCTGGATCAAAGGCGCTAGATACCGTGGTTATTCAAAAAGAAAGTTAGGTATATCTTATAGAGGATAGTCTTCATAGCAAGACTTGAGTTATATTCCTTCTAATGGCTTTAAATATTATCATATTAAGTCTTTTAGAACAGTAAACCATACCAAAAGAACCCGGTATATCCCACCTGAAGGTGGGATCTGGGGGTAAGATGCATGCAGACCTGATTTAAAGCCATGGGGAACCATGATGGTAGCCAATCTCTAGGTCATCCATATGATGACATGTATTAAGGGTATGTCACCACTTCAAACATAGAAAGTCATAAAGGGGCGTTGAACGTAATTCGTCATGGAAATGAGTATTGATTATTTTTGTTCTCTGTTCGATTGCAATCTGTACAAAAGCAGAATCATTTTTGATTTTACTACATTAGAAGTTTAAGATATGCACTATTTTGGGTTATTGTAGTTTTTGGACTTGATATGTATTACACCATTACTTGATTGATAATTTGTGTTGTTTGGAATTGATGTGTTGTGTTATTTGAAATTTGATGGCCATTTATGGTTTATCTAAAATGCAAAGGATGTGTTGCATGTAGAATGTATGATACGTAGTTGGTTGAACTATATTAAGCATGCATAGTGGATCAGTGGTTTACATTTTACTTAGAAACAACCAAATAGATAACACACAACCAACAGTGGGCACATAATTACATATTTACAATTTATT